AACGCGTTAAATTATGTTCATTTTGTTAATTTTTTTTATAGTGGTAAAAGCAGATTTTTCTCCTTTTGCGTTCGTCACTTCCGGTATCTGTTTACCGATGAAGATTTTTACTATCACCGCGTTTTCAAAATGTAATAGCATGTAACGGATAAATTTCTACCATAGCCGCGGACAAATTTCCAAAAAATCAAATACGATATACAAAAGATGTTACGGGATATACCCGACATCGAAAGGAAGTTGTAGCCAAAAGTGAATAATAGGAGCTAAATCGCTATTCTTTGGAACCTAGAAATGGACACACATAATAATGTAATACGAATGTATATAAACTGATTTACATTTAAACTGAATGACAGTCTTTGGCGTCAGGTTATTCCAGTCTTCACCGGTAGTGTTTTCCAACATGAGATATGTTTAGCCTCGACACGCGATTCGTGTGACAAATTAAACATTTTCATTTTTCTTAAATATTGGATATAAAAAGTCCAACTTTTCACGGTAAGATAAGAACACCATTGTTGATTTAAATTCACCAATAAGTCGTATTTGCAATGTCGAGTTAAAGACTTGCCTCTTATAAACAACATTGTATCAATCTCATACGGTCGGGGCTTGATTTTCCTTTAAAATAATCAAAACGCTTCAGGGTTTATTTCGATTGCAGGCTTAGAGAAAGAAGCAACAGCTTACATGGTTGCTCCACTTAAACCCAGGTACGAAGAGGTTATTGTGCTACTTAACTGTTGTAGAACTCCAACACAACTCCTATTCCTGCGTTCAAGTTAAAATATATATCTGAGGTTTGGTATAACATTCGAGTTTTTATGTTATAATATTAATTTTCAGCAGACCCAAAGTCATTTTACTAAACAAGTGCCTTAAAAAAATCACTGAGTTTGTAATGAGCTTTTGTATGTGATAGTAAATGTTTGATGAATTCAGACCCGAAAATCGTAATATATCTGGTTCAATGTTGATAACAAACCTTGTCTTTGATTTTCAGAAGAGTGTTACAGTTGCCATTAAAAACCAATTGTTTTATTTTTGTAGCTTGTGTTATTTCTACCCTAATGGAATTAAAATGATTACCTAGAAACCAGAAATGGAAAAACGATGCTACACCGACTGCAACTATGATAAATCCAATAACTCAAATCAACCGCCAGGGATTTATTTAACGTCCATGTTATAACGCAATAATATAATTAAAGTAGAAGCTTGGAACACATATATATTGACAGAATTCATCAAACATCTGATCAAGATCCATTTTAACAAATTGATTTGGAGAAAAACCGTCATCAGAAATGAATAATCAACCCAAAGAAGAGTATATACTGCTGTGATAGCAATATTTCAGTTTATTCAGACGCCATCTTGTTACTTCAACTGTAAGGTAATCCCCTGAATAAATATTGATGTAATGCGTACATCGGGGCCTAATCCATTCTGATGTGTTTGTAGGAATTACAGAGGTTGCGTGATGCACCGCATGGAATGAGTGCAAATTGCAAATGATATTGCCTTTCAGAACATCAAATATAATCCTAAGAATAATTGCAGTCAGAAAACGTATCGACTGAAGCAGTCTGTTTTTGCGAATGGTAAAATGACTTTGGTTACAGACTGGATGTGGACGTGTAAGCCTCGGTTTACTGGCTAAACCAAAAGGACAACCTTTTATGAAATCAGCTATTTAAAAATTAAAAACTGAAACGTTGGTAAATGACACACGATTCTGTCAATATCAATTAAAAAAAAGTGTGTGTTGTTGGGGGGGGGGGGGTATAGCGATTACCTAGTATGAACCTATGAAATAGTGTACCAAGGCATAACAAAATTTGATTTTGCTGGGTTCTGCCCTTATTCCTTTCAAAATCAAAATATGGCAATATTGTGTTCAAAGGCAGCAGACTTTGACAACGGTAGTAGCGAAAGAAAGACGTGTAATGTTTAACGTCCACACATCAAAAGCTACGTCATTTCAGGATTAGTATTGTTCATTATTCACTTGCGCGTAGGGGTCTGTGGCATTGGGGAGGGGGATGTAAATATCCGTTGTACTTTTCCCCATAGCTAGATGTTCTACTAATCTATCGCATTAGACTCAAGAATATTCTCCAAAACCCCAAAGAAAAATCCAATTCACATCGCGTCTACCTTATCTTCTACCCAGTAAGCCCGGATTTTGAAACCATGGCTTCGGTCAGGTGTAAGATGTAACGGATGCCTACGTGGCCGTGTAAGATTCTTGCAGGGGAGATTTCGTTCGAGGCTAACATATTTTCAAAAAGATCCCTACGTTGGTAAAGAATGACTATGTACAAGATAGCCGTGATGGGGCTTTATATGTGGACCTATGTGTTGATTAGCAAGATTTTATTAGTGGACAGTCTTAAGTTCATGGTGATATAGACATTTAATTATTTATTTATCTCTTATTAAAAGACAGAAAGCCCATCTTCGTTTGTGGATGTTTGGTTGAAGTACACTTAAGAGATTTCTATTTTATCAGTCCCATGCTCATCTTTATAGCAAATCATTTTGGGTTATTAAATGGTGGCTATGAAACGCTTAATAATATACATTTCTTGCTATTTAATAAAGAGAAGGACAGTGATGGCTGTCTAAATTTATTATATTATGAGATATCATTTTAGATATACCCATTCAATATCTATTCTTAGTTTGATTATGGAGACAATTTGTCTGGATCTAACATTTCCTTTGTGGGTTTTGTTTGTTATTTTAAAAATACATCATTGTCAACTTGACCAGTGTTTCATCAGAATGACAAGAAAATGATTTAAGATAATAGCCACAATTTAATATTGATATCATGATACAATACATAGTTAGATTTGCAAATGACATTTATTGTGGTAAACGCTTTTCAACACTTCGTCTGTCCCATTTTGATTTATTTTTGTCTTTAAATTTCAACTTCTTAAATGTCAATTTTGGCCTGACAGCAACCGAAATTCAAATAGCTGGGTATATTTTACAATGCAAATGACCAGTTACTTCTTGGAATGCTTTTGTGTGTAATAGAATAATTGTTCACTGAGAATCGCATTTTTTATGTTGTAGGCCACCGAACTATAATTCGTAAATAGATTCCCAAAGTTGCCGTATGGGGTTTTCCGCAATATAAAAAGCATAGCCCCTACATACGAAATGAGCCTCTATTTCAATATGGGGTAACTGTAAGCAGTAAAGAACGTAATCTGTCATTATGTGTCTGTGTTCTGACTTGCAAACAAACTACAATGCCCCACATTATGAATATTATAACGGACAATAAGCTTGAAACGAAATATGTACTGTCTGGGTGGTTGATAAAGTCAAGAGCAAGAGGTGTCCCTGGGCCTACTCAATATCCAAGGTATTACATAGACGTTTTTATCTGTTAGGGATTGAATTTAGATTTGAACATTAGTAAGGTTTCAAAATCGATTACGGTTCTAATAACGAGATGAACTATGACATATATCAAAAGATAAGAGAAGAACTTTGACAGTGTCATTTCCCTCGATATTGTTATATTTATATAAAAAAATGTGTGGTATATATTTCATACAAGATATTAAATTCTCCAGATTGAAATCCATATAATCTTTAGACCTTTTTTATCCCATGATCATTAAATAACTGATGGTTATTTACTGGTAGTCTTCTGCGAGTATTATGTAAAAAAATCAATTAAAGCAAAACATCAAGATCTAATTGTAATCTACAGGTTTTAAAATTCCAAAGCACTGCGCCATTTCAGGCGCCTTGTACTTCTCAACGTACGAAACATGTCACTACAATCTCAGGCTTCTATGTGATCACAAGCCCAATAACTCTAGGCCTATTTATAAACTAAGCCGTAATAAGGCTGGCATCATCCCTAAACGGAAGTACTCCAGAACAGATTAATCAATTTGAACAACATTGAAGCTTATAAGACAAATGATTGGGATCAGTATTTGGTGAGTAATGGATTGGTAGGACATGTTCTATCAAGCCGCCGTTGCTATAATTCATGGGGATGTCTGTGACGTAACGTGCAAGCCTTATTTGCACTTAAATGGGTGTTTGGACTTCAGTCGGTTGCTAAAAGCAGCATGTCATATACATAATATGCGAGTTTCACAAATCAGCAGGGTGGAGTGAAGTGATATAGTGTAATCTAGAAAGAATACGCATACCATACTTCATGCACCAGACCTCTTTTTATGTGGAGCTTAAATGAGCGACTGATAAAACTTTGTTAAACAAATATTGGTTAGCAGGTAATAAAACATGACCACATGGCTGAACAGGTCATAAAGGTTGTCGCATATTTATTATTTAGTTGGTAATGGAAGTTGTTCAAAAACAACTGGATTCATCATCCCATGAACAAAAACATAGTGGATGCATTTAAAGTCAATCGAATGATAACTTTAATCTCTAGGGCGCCCATAAGCAGTTGTGGACGACGGAGGGGTGAGCCATTTTCATTTTGTATAAAAATAGTTGTAATAAAATGCAATCTAGAGAGTCAAAAAGGTTTTAAAAATTGATCAGTTATTATCGCCCACACATTTTCAAAGGGACGCAGGGACTTAACTATGGCTATAATTATCGGCAATTGTTGGATATCAATAAGCCTTAAGGCGCCCATAAGCAATTGTGGGCGACGGAATCGTGTGACGACAACATGCGACTACATTTCAACGTGCGCATATAAAGGTAGACGTAATAGAATATATTTTCTGGTTATGGGCAACAAATAATATAAATTATTTGAGGGGAAAACCTAGCCTTTTCCTGACTACAGACTAATGCAATGAAAAAGAATGTCTGACTTTCGGAAATAAAATCAAAATGGTATAGTGATCTTCTAATAGTTACAACATAATAATATTTCTGGAATAATGTGAGGCTGGGGTCATGAATCCCGTATATTGAAGGAATTAATAGTAGATTTAGTCGAGTGGTCGTATCCACCAATAGGCTGTAAAACCTACCTTAATTATGGACTATTATTACTTTGGTATTGGTTAGTTCCTCGTTTCTAATCTCTCTTTCACCAGTTTATCCGATGTCCTTAATTCCTTCAAGTTACTACTCGATTAATTTGTCTCGTCTTGGTTACCCCAATCCAACGGCATTGGCGTCAACTGGCGATGATATTGTCAGCAAGCCGGGAGCGAGTTTAACAGTCTTTTGGATTTTTATATATAAATGAAATTAATAGGTCGTTCCTTCAAATAGTTACATATTAGAGTTTTCTCTGGTTGAACAAAAATGGAGGTCGATGTTAGAGGATGTTTACAACTTGCATTCGTTGCACTTTGGTTGATCAAATCCTGAAAAAGTAAACGAGAATTAATGAGCACGCTGAAACTATACGATCGATGCAATTAGTAATCATTTAGCAGGGAAAAAATCGACGGATGTATAAATACAATTCTCTTCCATTACATCAAACGGGCGAAAACATTTAGATGCATGAATCATGCAGTGTTTGATACTTTGATTGTGTTCTTTTGAAGGAAAGGTGTCATTATTTTATACACAATGAAGTGATGTATATTTTTAATGTGCAATTTTCACATAGAAAATAATAACCAGTAATGGAACGAGAATATCGTCATATCGCGTAATTGTATGTATTTCGCGGAGCCCAGTAAGGGACGCAACATACAAATATATATCTGGCGGGCACACTAGTTATTATGCGCACCGAACAACTAACTATCGCGCAACAGATAACTGAGTAGCAACCGCCAGATAATAAGTAGTGCGTTCCAGCCATTACCCAGTGCGCACCAGATAAATAAGTAGTAAGCGCCATTATTTCTAACATATTTAAATATCTAACCCAGTTTGATAATGTGTTGTATATATGTATTTGATGTTGTTTTTGTACATATGTGTTTGATGTTGTTTTTGTACATGTTGTATTTATTTATTCGTTTGTACCGGTACTGTATGTTTTACCTGATGAGTCTTTGACTTAAGAATAAAGAACTTGAGCTCCGGATAATAACCACCGCACCAGATAACGAGGAAGGCCGGTCTTTATCAGTGGGAGGAAACCAGGGGACCTGGAGAAAACCGACGAAGTTGGACAGACGAGGGGAATCGAAACCACACCCTTCACTCAGTGACAGACGTTATGATCTAACCCGCGAGCGTTAGCGAAGACTGGGTCAAATATGCATTATGTAAGAATTAGATAAAGAAGTGACCGTTCTCGCTATAATAGTTTACAAATAGATAATGAAAAGGGAATATCTTGATAATTTCAGTCAAAATACTGTATTCTGAGTTATCAGGGGTGTATTGGTAACTATTGGTCTGGCTACTATTGTTAAGATAATTATGTCTCGATTATCCATTTCTAAATTAAATTATTAAATAGCGATCGTGTTTCAATCCATTAGATGGTCTAAACAATTGATTATGGTCTTGTCATGTGAATAAATGTCAATTAATCATCTATGGAACATTTGAAGTCAAAAGATGGACCTGCAATAGATACATTTAGCTCATACAAAATGTATTTGCAATATTCATGAATCGTACAATGCCTTTGGCATAGATGAGGAATATAAAATCTTATAACATAGAATTCCAATCAATGTGTGAAAGGGTTTGGAGTGGGGGCGGGGACTTGTGCGTAGGTTAGGGGATTTTAACAGTACGAGCAAACAGGAGAACTCGGAGAAAACCCACGTCTCCCTATAAATATTTCATTATAATTGTGATAGTTATTAATTCGTTAGCAAAACGGGAGCCGCGGTAGTTAACGAACTTGTGCGCGCCGAATAATGCCTGGGGCGCGCTATTTATAGTTAAACGGTGCGCTCCGGATAATAACTAGTGCGCGCCAGATATATATATATATTTTTATTATGCGTCCCTTACCGGACTCCGCAGATTTTCGCTATAGTTATTTTACTTTTAAGTTTCTAGATCGTCCATTCAAAATACTTCAGAACTCAATAGATAGAAAATCTGCCAAATTGTGTATTCTTAAATTTTCTCCAAGTCTATGCAATACCCACAGAGAGGTTATAATTTAAGATGTATGTTCCAAATAGATCATAAAATAATCATAATATATAGACTCTAGTAGAACAGCAGATCTATCGAACATAACTTTTATTGAGGTGGGCAGTACATGTTTATGGCCTATTAAAAGTAAACGGTGCAAGTCGGGTGTTATGTTTCTACTTAATAATCAAAACGGAGGAAACGTTGAAGGATTAGGCACTCTCTCTTTCAACATGTTGTCGAAATAATGAGTCTGAAAACCTGGTAACAAATATAATGATCATAAAATTTAGTCGCATATTACTTGTTTCTTGTTAAGGATATCGCCCTGGTAAACATTCGATTATAGTGCATACACAAGGCATCGTTTACACGATAGTTATCGTTAAATAACCACGAATGTCAATGGTCACGTGAACACAGTTTGGATGATAAATGAAATGAAATGGGGTTTAACGTCCTACTGTTCTGCTGCTATACTGGGATAATGAAGACGGGCATAAGCCACACAGTGTGCTATGAGGGAAATTTTGCCCGGGCAGCGGCACTATCGCCTACTCTTATATCGAATTCCAACTGCCAGGGGATCTTTTACATGCATTCCAATATATACACGGGACCTCAGTTTTCGTCTCATCTGAAGGACTAGACAGCTGTACTTGTCAGGCCCTCCGTCCTGCACCACTGACAAGAGGAAACCACGTCGGAAAATCTGGATGAACTTTCTCGGCCAATGCAGGGATCGAACACCCGACCTAAAGATAATATACCGACCAACTGCCTTGTCGCAGAGTTGTTCATTATTCCTACTTCGTTCCTTCGTTCGTTCTTGGTGTTTAACGTCTGCTTCCACATAAGTGATATCGCAGACAACCATCACATGGTTATAAGGTTTCCACGGTAATTACTCTAATTGTTTATAAACGTACCACATCGTTTTCTCTTAGATCAAATAATATTCCAAATCAAGAATCGCTCAAGTGCAATTTTAATATTACTCTTGGCAATGATACCACGGTCATCGTCATGCCTTGTGGACGTCGTTCAAAAGCTTCAAGGTTAGACATCTTTCTTTGAAATTTATATTTGAAGCTTTGAAAACTTTTAAAGAATAAGAAGCCAAAATGTTGAAAACCAGTCGGTTTGCTTCCGGTTTTTTTTAGTGTTTTGGTGTCTGCCAGATATCTGTAACTATTGAAAGTTGATGACATCTGCAGCTCAATGACAAGATTCCGCTTTACTATCGTTATGGAAACCATAACATTATATTCTTCGTAATTCCTTTTAATTAATAAAAAAAAAACAACGGTAAGTGTAAAAAACACATCAATCACAATCCTCGTGGCTATATGACAAATCCCTACTCTTTATGTATTTTAATAATCGAGACAATAGATTTGATTATGACCTCTGACATAAAATAATTGGAATAAAACGCCCACAATACTCAGGTCTATATTTTCTTCCAGTTTTATATTCATATAAATTTTCCTAGTCTTACTCATCAATCTCCTATGTTATTCTCAGTCATTTTACTTCTTTATTAGATAGAGATGAAAATGATTATTTTAACGCTCATAGCATTCGCTCATCCATTTCGCCTATCTAACAGAAACTTTACAGGAAAAATCCTTTGAGGAAACCAAACCACAAATATTATACATTAATCATTGTAGAAAAGAACAAAGACGGCTGCTGGGTTTTATGCAAGTAATTCATTATCCGACTTTATCCTATCAAAAGATGTGAAAAATAGCGATATGAGGATAAGAAAGAATGGAAGTGGTTTTATGTGTTGGGTTGGTACGTTTCTTATTTTTATTTTCATGAAAATGTCTTGAAACCAAGAACCGTTGAAGTGACCTCTTTCCGTCTATATGGGACCATTTGTTGATTTGGACGGGGGGGGGGGTCTTTTTTGGGGGTCAATTATCAAGCATTTAAAGTAGGTCTGCAGTCAAAATTTCTAGCTTGCTTAGAAACAGAATTCCCCTACAAGGTCCTCCCTATTAAACAAACTATACATTTTTGGAAATCTTATAACACCAGGAACACATATCCAGAAAGTTCCAATCGAAATGTCTCCAATAACTCGATTTAGGGCCAGATGAAAATTGTGATTATTGTCAAGTAAATGCTATATTTATACTAACAATTGTGAAGTTAACATAAAATTAAATATTGGCGAAAAAAAAACCAATGCCTTCATCATCGTTAAGGAATATGGTTTTGGTTAAATGTTAATTTATACCAAAATGCAGAAAACATAATGGACAAGGGAACATACCGAATTTTGGAAATCCATTAACGGTAACAGAGAGTTATCTCCCTTTCTGTCAAATGTCTGCAATTGATAACAGTATTTCAGGTGCGTGTTGACTGCTGATGCTGTATGACGCACAAGACCATGTGTGAGCACACAGGCCCAATATTTATATCGTTAATGAGTTCCCAGGAGACTGCAAGGGTTGGCGATCGGGTGTTTACCCAGAAATTCTGAGTGGAGCGCCTAGTCTGGTGAACAAGGAGATGTCTTTGACATTGGTTGAGAATTATGGTTATGAAGTAACGGAGACCAGAATCTGTCCATAGTTTTGTAAACCGCATTGAAACCAGGTGATTTTTTCTACCACACTCACATACTCATTACACCCTACATTATTTTTACTACCGATAGCTGTAAACCTCTAGTTCAGATATTTAAGCCAAATTACACACATTTAAACTGAAACCGTATCTATAATTGGGTAATTTGCTAACAAATATAGATATAAGACAAAAACTAATTATTTATTAAAATAAAACAATCATTGTAAATCGAAATTACGCAGTTACTCTTCACAATGTTATCAAAGTTAGTCATTATCATCATCGCTGTCACTACATGTATAAATATCAAATTAGGTTTCTTTAACAGTCTTTTTGTTTAATTTTCACATTTACTACACTTACACCGTCAGCATTACGGGATGGGAGGGGACTGGAATGACCATGCCCAATCGTTCGGATGGGAGTGGGAGGAAAAACAAAAAACGATAGTTTAAACAATATTTGCTTCAACAAACTATATCGGATTGAACCACAGGTAGGGGGCCTATGACAGTTGGGAGTGTGTGTGTGTGTGGGGGGGTGCTGAGAGCCTATTTGCTCGAAAATTTTCTTTGTCACCCGAATTTTCTGAATGATAAGGGGAAACAACGCTGGAAAGTTTGGAAAACTGTCTAGGTCAACACGGGAATCAAACCCCGGACCTCCTGATACGTGAGCCACGGAAAAGAGGAAACCACGCCGAACCAGGATCAAACCC